AGATCCTTCAGTGTCTGCACCAAGATGTTGCAGATCTTCTATAAGTCTGTTGTGGAAAGTGCAATCAGCTTTGCAGCCATCTGCTGGGGCAGTAGCATCAGAACCAGAGACTTAAAGAAACTAAACAAGCTGATCAAGAAAGCTGGGTTTGTGCTGGGGATAACTCTGGAACCACTGGAGCTGATTGTTCAAAAAAGAATGCTGCACAAGATGACGAAGATGATGGAGGATTCTTCCCACCCTCTCCACAACACAGTGAAGAATCAACAGAGTGTGTTCAGTGGGAGGCTTGAACTATTTTTCATTTCATTACGAAGTGTGGCGGTTCGTGCTCAGTGATAGTGCGGGTGGACCCAAACGAAAAGGGAGACGGGGAGAAGGGTTAAAGGAAACAGGATTTATTTAGGGAAGAAACATAGTCCGGTGAAGGGGAGCCGGTCGTGGGGGGTGCCGAGCGTGGTGCGAGGAGGTCCGGTGCTTGTGCATGCCTTTGTCTGTGGAGGTTTTCCTGGTGTAGAGAGGGAGCCGTGAAGAGGGAAACCAGGGTGGTGCGCAGGGGTCTGGTGCTCAGGAGTAGGTGCTCGTGGGTGGTGCTCTCGTGAGGGTTTTCCCGGTGATGGTGCCCGTGGTTGTGAATTCCCGTGAGTGCAAAATGCTGGAGTGCCTGGAGGAGTGCTGAGTGCAGGAGCTGAGGAGGAACACTGGAAGCAGGCAGAGAAAACACATACAATAAACTCGAGACTAGAGAACAACAAAAGTGCTAGAAAAGCTCAGCGAGTGGTAGCGGCTAGCGGCCTGACTATACCACGAGGTAGGTATCAGAATCCTCTGGCGTTGATCTTCTGTGAGACGCCAGTATTTAAGCAGGGCACGGCTGATGAGTCGATGAGCCACAGCTGCCAGCGTGCGCGTCTCTCCTGATCGCCCAGTCTGCAGTGAACAGAGGCACACCCACCAAAACACAAAGACAGACAAAATCCCCAAAACACAGTGAACCCAGTCTATGACCCTCACACGAAGAGACATTTAAACAGGCTATTGAGAGGCAGGTTGCTTTACCGGCAAAGGTACGACTTGCACGCCGGGATAGATTTCATTGTTGACCAACTGCAAGGCCCTGGAAAAGATCATGGTTACCGGTGGATGTGTGCAAAGTGTAAAAAACACAGTATTTCTATCAGAAAAGATGTCAGTATCCTCCTGTCTCCACTGGACCCCATCGGTTCTCAAGTTTACTAGGCCAGATGTCTCAGAAGGAGGCAGTATTTTGCTCAGGGACCAAACTTTGTATGACACATAGACTCATATGACAAACTGAAACCATATGTGATATGCATTAATGGCTGCATCGACGGATTCTCGCAACATTATTTGGCTGCGGCCCACCCATATTAACAGCAACCCCAAAATCATCGGTGGGTACATTGTGGAGGCAGTGGAGCGCTGTGGGGGTTGCCCCATGCTCGTCCGAACTGACCTGGGTACTGAGAAAGTGGCAGTTAGAGACATTCAGCAGTATTTGCGGAGAAATGATGTGGATGACAGAGCAGCGCGGAGGAGTTACATCACAGGGTCAAGAGCTGCGAACCAGAGAATCTAGAGCTGGTGGGGGGTGATGAGAAAAGAAGGACTGAACTGAAAAGAAGGTAGAACTGAACGATGAGGGATTCTTCGTAGGAGACTTCATTGACAAAGCTCTGTCACAATTCTGTTTCATGCCAATCATTCAGATACAATAGCTTATGTTATGATCACAGCAAGAAATCCAGAAACTGCACTATTAACTCTACATTACTTTAATATAATCTTAAAGAGTTAAGCCACTGTGAGTTTGTTTATTTAATGTGTGTGATGTATTTATTCTTTAGACTGTTGTAGAAATAAGACCAATGCAATTTAAGTTACTTTTATTTGCTTAACACACTTTTGTTTTTCTTACCCAAAGGCAGAGATGAAAGAGGACTGTATTTCATTTATTGTAGGCCCTAATCACTGTTTAAAAATGCACTATGTGCCAGCTGTGACTTAACTGTTCTTGTCTCTTCAACAGGAGGTATTGTATGGCATGCAGGGTGTTCACCGTATAAGGCCCTCCAAGAACACCGGCGTGCCCAGTGGAATACCTGATGTCATGTACATGGCTCCTCACCTTTGGGGTGCAGAAGACTGTCTTGTTCCACTGACTGAAGATTTGACCACATGTAAAGGCAGCTGCACATTTGTCAGTTCAGTTCCATGTGATGTGGACGTGGTTGATTTGTGCATGATAATAATGAAAGAATCAAGCTTGGAGTTCACATCTACCATGTCCCATGCACTTGATTTGAATTTTCATCTGAGGGACACTGTTCGTTCAGTTATTTGAGGCAATTTAAATGGACACAAAGCATACAAATTGTGTAGTGCATTTGGTACTTTAGTACATGTTTTTACAGCATAATGTACATATTACTTTTCATATTTGTGTGGCTATCTTATGTCTTTGCTTAAACCAAAATAATCAGAAGACTGTTTAACTTTTCTGTTTTTAGTTTTAGCAATCTGTCAGTAAATAAACTCATCATTAAATATTGTTAGCTAGAAAACAAGAAATGTTTGGCAAATAGTTGTTGAAGTTAGACAAAATGAATCTTTTGGGGCTAGAGTTAAACTTGTCAAACTGTAAAGGCTTTAAAAGTTATTTACATCTCTAACAAGGACATCAGCACCATGGACAACAACCACTCAGACTGGCAATGGCATCATAAATCTAATGTTCTGATCAAGAAGACCAAGTAGGCTACTTTATAGTGTCTCATTATAATGGTTGTATCATCAATGCTCTGTATGTTTCCTGAGCCTCTGTTTTTGTTTTTGTGGAAGAGATTAAAACAATCCAGTGTTTGATTAAGAATTGTGTCTTTCATAACAAATCACAGCATATTTATAACACCAGACAGTGAGGTGTAGAATAACAATAGAGGTGTCATTTGAAATGTAAGTGTAAAGATGTCCAGAATGTAACAGAGAGGACATCATCATTTTGTACAAACTTGAATGGTTCACTGGTCTTTAAAAAAAATACACCATAGTCAAAACAAAACAGGTTTCATTTTCAACACAACAGGTAAGAACATTTTTCAAACCTACTATTGCACAGCAACAGCAAACTGTTATAAAATAATAACCACTGAAAAATTAGCCAAGGGTCACATTCTTGTTTCTAATGGGGTTGCTACAAACAACTGTAATAATAATATAAAACATGCTTAATGGATTGGATTTTGGTATCTTAAGTGGAGTTGTACTTATGCCTAGTCAGTGTACCTGCAATAGACAGCATTCGGCACTCTCCCAGTTTGTAGAACTGTAACTGTATGTGTATTTGGAATATTTGAAAACCCGAACTATCCCTTTAAGTTTACCATTGGATTGTAAAAGAACATAGTAATCACTTTAAAAGCATGTGAAATAAAATGCCGCCCATAAAGAAGGCACACTGGGCTACATATTTGAGATAACAAAACCATCCAGTCTAGCAAGGAGCTGTCACATCCTTCATTGTATCAATTGTGTTATTACCTATACCAAATCCACTACCCACATTGAGCTTGTGAGAATAGTGTTAAATTCGCTGTGAAAATCTGGATAGCTGTGGTAACCAATGCGCAGCTTCAGTACACATCCACATGTGTGGGATTGTGGTCTGCGGAGGAAATCTGTCATTTCTATGGACTCAATGAATATGGCCTTATCCAAGAGATCAGATCCTGTACAGAACTGCAGGAAAAGCTGAAGATTGTTGTAATCAGTTTCACCAATGTACCTTTTCAGGTAATGAGAAACTGTTGACTGGGCTGCTGTCATTTGCTGACATAAGTTCATAACCACGTTGTGACATTAACAATGACTCAACATGTCTCCTGTTTCTCTTTAACTCTGCCATGTGTCATGACAACTGACGTCAAATATTTGAGAGTACAGAATGAGCATTCATCACTCCGTCAGCTTGTTGTTAATGATATCAATGTTAATTCAAATGCTAAAGGTATGTTTTGATTATCCATGAATCTAATAGTGTAGATAAAATGACTACCGGACTTTAACATTGGCTGGAAATCACAATATGGTGGAAATGAACTGCTTGGCGGAGGTCTGTGATTTTATTGAAGGACAAAGAGAACACTACAGACACATTCAGTAGTTCAGTCTGAACACCAACAACCTGCAAATTAATACAAACTAGATTCTGATCACTGATAGGCTATAGGTTCCCCTGGCAACATGATACACACAGTGATGTGGTGCTGTAGAATGCACCCCCAGTTATTTCACGGCAGGGCTGTATTCTAGGACACCACCGGACCAGGTTAGTTAGGTCTGCAGCATAAGTTAGCTAGCCAGGTTAAAAGAGAGACACCTTCATTATCGTTACACAGAAAACTTGCTCATCATACCTCACTTAGCAGCAGGCCTGCACCCTAATGCTGTGTTCACACCAGATGCGAATTTATCGCGCTATGCGCGTGTTACACGCGTATTTGGACGCATGTGTGCACTGAGTTTACTCGCTTCATTCGCGCATATAAATCATGTCAATCACGCGTCAAGATTTGTGTTCACACAAGACGCGAGTAAAATCATACGCGCTAATGATTTACATGTAAAGTCAATGTGAAGACGCGATTTGCGTCATTTGCGCGTCCGCCAGGAATTTCTGCCTGTTTCCTGCCATTTTCCAGTGAGGTATCATCAAACATGGCTGTGCTCGACAACATTGAGGGGATTGCTGCTTTGTATCTGCTGTGGAAGGCCCAAAACCGACGGCGATCCAGACACCGCTGTGTCTGGGTCCATCAGATCCTCCAGAGATGCACACAGCTCGGGGAATTCCATCACCTTCTCCAGGAGCTGCGCCTGGATGACAGCTGTTTCCAGCGCTATTTTCGGCTGACCCGGACCTAGTCTGACAACCTGTTGGAGAGGATCGGAACCGGGATATCCCTCCAGGATACCAACTACAGGCGCTCTATCCCAGCTGCTGAGCGCCTGTCCATCTGTCTCCGGTGAATAAATCAATCACTATTCATGGTGTAGTTGCAAAAAATACAAAATAAAAAATAAAAATCAATGAATCTCATATACTGCATTTGCATGAACCCACGCTCGGGCCTCAATGCAGTGATTTAATTAGCAAAATCACGAACCAACTTTTCAGCAGCAAGCTGTTTTAATAGACTTTTTAAATGTTTTTCTTTTCTTTTTCTTTCTTTTTTTTTCACAATAAAACTGATTTAAAAAAATGTATATATCAACTTGTCTTGTTCTGCCTTTCAAAGAGGAAATTAAGTATTGTTTTACCCTCAACAGTAAACTAAAATGATGGGAAATCAGCACCACCCACATTCAGTCAAATTTAAAAGCGGCTGGCAGATGTTATTAAATTACAAAAGACATGAAGGTGCATTCATTAACACATTTAATATCATAAATGATAATTTATATAATTAATATTTATATATAAAGTATATATAATACATTATTTTGTTATGTTTCAGGTTGACTACGATCTACAGTATTGACATTACAACTCAGCTATATTAAATGTTTTCTTTGTTGTTGTTGTAGACATCTTGCCACTGGTGACTCCTTCAGGACCATTGCTGGCAGCTTCCGGGTTAGTGTCTCCTCTGTCAGCAAGATCATCCCAGATGTGGCCACTGCAATCTGGGACTGCCTGGTGGAGGAATTCATGGCTGTGCCTTCCACAGAGGACTGGAGGTCCATTGCAGAGGGTTTGAGGAGCGGTGGAATTTCCCTCTCTGCTGTGGAGCACTGGATGGCAAGCACGTCATTCTGAAGGCCCCCCCTAACTCAGGATCCCAGTTCTACAACTACAAGGGAACTTTTTCTTTAGTTGTCCTTGCAGTTGTAGATGCAAAATATTGTTTCCAGGTGATTGATGTAGGGGGGGTACGGAAGAACGAGTGATGGTGGGATTCTGGCCAATTCAGTTTTTGGCCAGTCACTCCGAGCTGGCACCCTCCAACTGCCTGCTGACCGGCCACTACCAGAAGCTGACGCCCGAGGACCCCAGCCACACGTCTTTGTTGCTGATGAGGCCTTTCCCCTCCGAAGAAACCTCATGAGGCCATTCCCTGGGCGTGTTTTACCAGAGGAGAGATGGGTCTTCAACTACCGCCTGTCCCGAGCTCATGGTGGTGGAGAATGCCTTCGGGATCCTCTCTTCCCAGTGGCGGATGTACAGGCGTGCCATCGAGGTACATCCTGATGTTGCGCAGAAGTGCGTGAAGGCAACCTGTGTTCTCCACAACTTCATGCGGAGGTCAGCAGAAGTACCTGCAGTGAGGGGAAGCATGTCGGCTGGTGAGGTGGAGCCACTGCCAGGTCTGGGTCAGGTTGCAGCCAACAACTCTGCCAGAGAAGCCATCCGGGTGAGGGAAGCCTTCATGGCATACTTCTCTGTGGAGGGAGTGGTCCAGTGGCAACCCACCATGTAGTGCACAAAACAGCACACCACAACGGCTCTTTTAAGAGCCACCCACGTTACTTTTGAGCAAGGGTCCTGCAATATTATATTTTATATCAGTATCATAATAAATACATAGATGTGTGCAGTGCTTTTACTTTTGTCTAATATATTTTTGTTCAGAATGCTGAATCTTAAGGATATCATCTTACCTGAACTTTAATGTAAACCAAATTTCTACCTCATGACAGAGAAAAGAAAGCACATGAAAGTGTTACCTTTAGTTTAAATAAGTCAAACTTTGGTCCCTTTTGAAAAATAATCATATTTATTTACAAAAAAAAGATACTGTACATACGAATAACAAAAATATTTTTTTTAAAACTATATACACAAATATAAACTATTTACAGACAGGAATAAAAATGAGCTTGCTTGGAGGAATGAGAGGAGTGAAGGGAGGAGTGAGGGACAAGAAGGAGGTTCCAATGGTTCCAAATTTAGCGTAACAGTGCTAGCTTCGCAAATTAATTTGTGAATTTGAAATTTGACAAATTGCTTTTTTTGAGGTGGCAATCTCTCCAGGGAAGGAAGCAGGCTTTTGAGGAACAGTTCGTGCTCTGAGGGGGGAGGTGGAGCTGGTACTGCAGGCCGGTTTTGGAGCGCTTCTAGCAGCAGCTTCTCCACCTCCGTCAGCTGCTCCCTCGACCTTTTTGGTGGCCTCCTCCTTGAGGTCACTGTATATAATATAAACAAGATATTTTGAGATGCTAGAGCATTTTACTCAATCCAATACTTTTTCAAAGTAATCAAGGAACAGTATAAAATGAAATGCAATGAACACAGTACAATGGAAAAGCAAATGTGCAGAATAATAAAATATTCACATTCAAATAGCTGGAATCACATAATTTCATTTAAATTTCCTTTTTCCTTTTAGAAATTGCTCAAAGTAATTCATTTCAAAAACATTTAGTGATCAGTGTCATAACTGATAAATAACCTTGTAGCTCTAGTCATGTACATACCTCTGGGCAAAGCAGCCGATGTGGAAGGGGCTTCAACGGCAGGTTCAGGAGGGGCAGAAGCAGCAGCAGGTTCTGGCAGCGACAGGTGGCCCGCATCACTGCCTTCACCATCATCAGGGATGGGACCTGGATGTTCTGTAGTGACAATATATAAATGCACCCATTTCAATACACTCTATAGGTTCATCTGTGATAATATTTAGCTTTTGATTTCCCCACCAAATAGTGACATAAAAATAATCATAACCTACCATCTATAGCCCCTTATGTATTTCCCATGCTGTGTGCATGTGTGTCTTTAGCTGTCAACAAACCTTGGTCCTCAAGCTCTGACTGCCCTGCTGCTGCTTCTCTATCTGGCGCCTGGTTATCAATTAGGTCGTACTCTGCAGCCCTATGTTCCTCGACCACCTCCTCCATGTTACCCAATGTTTCTCTTGGGGTAACGAAGGGGTCGAGGAAAGACAGGACTGCAGAGTACTTCCACCTTTTTCCTGTCACTGCCGCTGAGCCACTACTCCTCTCTGTCTCCTTTCTCCTCTCCTTCAAATAAGTGTCCCTCAGGCTCTTCCATTTCTTCCTGCATGACTCCACTGAAGAAAAACATGTAAATATGAACTAGTGAAGGCAAAATTAGCGTCTTTGCCACGACGGCGGTTGTGCTAATCGGGGCAGTGCTTGCGAGTAATGTTTTCACAACTTACCAGGTTCTCCGTCCTCCTCACTCACTTTCTTCCAAGCAAGCTCCTTTTTATTCCTGTTTCGATTTTAAAAAAAGGAGGCTGTGTCATACAGTTCCGGGTGGACGCACACGGCGACAATGAGCTTTTCCTCCATTTTTCAAAGAATGAATGAGGAGCCGGTGCCGGCCGGTTCTTGACGTCACCAGAGAATCTCAACGCTGATTGGCCATCGTGGTGCGTCAGATCGCAGAAGTTCACACTTTTCAACTTGCTCTTTGAAGCACCTAACACGCGTATCGTGCAACTAAAATCGCGTCAAACGCACGTCAAATTCGCGCAATTCACGTCAATCGCGGCGCGCTAATGTGGGACGTTTACTCGCGTCTAATCGCGTCTACACATTGACTTTACATGTAAATCATTCACGCGAATGATTTTACTCGCGTCTGGTGTGAACACAGCATAACCTTTCCTATAAAAATGTCCTGATGTGTATGCAGGGCGGCAGCTCACACACAAATGCGTTTATGGCATATTATCACAACAAAACATTGTGTAGTAACAAGATGAGGATAAAAAGTTTGTAAGTCATGAGACGTCAGTGATACGCTACCTGTTGTAACAAAGTGTCAACCATAGGTCTAATTAAATAACGGCCTAAATGCGGGATAACAACATATCGACTAAAAACATAATTAGAAAAGTACCTGGGGCTCTGTACAAAAGACACTCACCTTAAGGACATCACGTAGGCACTGGGTTCCGTAGTACGGCATTGCAGAGAAAGGTGCGCTCGATTTGCTTACCTAGTTGTCCAGGAGCGATATTGATATTTTGTGCACACATTATAGCTACATCGTGGCCGCAAATTAATATTTCGTGCACACGTTATACTTATTTCGTGGCCACAATATAGCTATAATGTGCAAATGAATTAGTGTTTCGTGGGAACAAAGTAGTATTTCGTGGGAACCAATTAATATTTCGTGCGCACGTCATGGTTATATTGTGGCCATGATTTAATATTATTTTGACCATGTCATGTCTTGGGCTACGTACAATCCAAATTCCTGCTGCTTGTTATATTTAAGTATGTTCCAAGCTATTATGTATTCTGAATCTGAATTTTTCCACTGAACCTATGATCCTGTTTTGCTTTTTTCTACTGAGAACAATGCACGTCCTCGAAGATGGGCGGTGAGAACTGGTTCACATACTGGGAGACAGCAGAACTCCTCTTCTCTATCAGCTGCTTTCGATACATATGTAGCCCTTCCTATCCTGCGTTTAAGAGGATGGGCCCTAGGTTCGTTTCGTTCAGGTATACTCTCGTATATAGGTGTGATATTGTAGATAAAATAATTGAGTCACTAAAGCACCTTAAACTTAAAACTAGGATTAACACAGTTACCAAGATTATAGTAAATAAATGAATAACGGGCACCTGTTACTCAAAAACACAACAGAAACCTTTGTATAAAAACAGCAAGTTCCCACTTTTATTTGATAAAATAATAGTAAACATCCATCCATCCATCCATTATCTATACACCGCTTAATCCTCATTAGGGTCGCGGGGGGGGCTGGAGCCTATCCCAGCCGACTTAGGTCGAAGGCAGGGGACACCTGGACAGGTCACCAGTCTATCACAGGGCTACACTTACAGACAGACAACCAAGCACACACACATTCACACCTACGGACAATTTAGAATCACCAATTAACCTCAACATGTTTTTGGACTGTGTGGGAGGAAGCCGGAGAACCCGGAGAGAACCCACGCTGCACGAACCCACATGCAAACTCCACGCAGAAAGATTCCGGTGCCCCCACCGGGACGTGAACCGGCAACCTTCTTGCTGTGAGGCAACAGTGCTACCAATTGCGCTACCCTGCAGCCCTAATAGTAAACAAAAACCGAATAAATTAAAGTAAAATGCAAGTGCACTTTCTGGTAGAAGGCTAACACCAATATAAACCACAGTGCAATAATCAGTGTTTTTCTTCCCCAAATAAAATGTTTCACACAATCAGTTTCTTTATTTCAGTCTTACTGTTTCACTTTTGTAAACCACCACAATAACGTAAAGCCGGCACACCTTGTAAATAAAAGAAAAAAAACAAACGTTGCAGGCCTGAGTCGTGGCTCGGGATCGTTGGGACCCAAAACTTACTGGTCCTCAGCAGAATACAATAAAATAAAACAGAGTACCTTTTCCCGGGCAATGATCCAGTCAGTCACCTCAGTCCGGAGGAGAATGGGAGTCCACACAGGTATCCACACTGATATCGCCACGATTTTTGCTGATTTTCCAACGTGGCCAGAGGAACTCTGAGCATCCCGGTAGCTCAGAGCACTATCTGGTTGGAGTCCTCTCGTTTCCAGGTCGGGAACTGACGAACAGCTACGTGGCTAGCTGGGTTAGCTAAAAGCTGCATGCACACAGTCCGATCACATTTCTATTAGCTTTTAGCCTGCACTAAGCTAGCGAGGCTGTCTCTGAGTGTAGCTGACAGGAATAAACTTTGTGTTGAAATTAACTGTCGCTCACAACTACTACTTGTCTATTGCAAGATTATCAGGCTGACAATCTAAACTACAATCAATATAAAGTTCAGCATAACAAGCTGTAAACTCACAAACGAACTGTTTCATCCACTCTCTCTGACACCACGTTTCCCCTTCGTTTTCCTCTCTCTTCCAGACCGCATCACCCCGTCTCTCACAGACGTCAGCTCACATGACCAAAACAACCTGGTTTTAACAGAATTACTTTTTCTCTAAAATAAATAATGTGTTCTCCTTTTCTGTTTTTACATCATGAAATAAAACATTTTCTCTTACAAACACACTTTAACACAAATTTAGCTATTTTTAAACCCTTGAAAATACCAGGTTTTTAACAACGTCTTAACATTATGTTTTTTTAATCATCCATGAACTATTTACTATTTAAATGTATTTTAACATTTCAGCAGGGTTACACATTCCTTCTGGACAACATACACACACTTTGTATTCGATCCAAGCAGTTTCTGTTTACATTTCAGTGAACTTCCACATGAACAGTGGTTAGCCTGTTCACGTCACAGTAACTGGCCAATTAAACTCGGTAGCATACAAGTCCCACCTCTGACTGTACTGTATGGGGCAGTCCCAGCCCAAGAAGATATCTGTAACCTGAAACCAAAAAAATTCAGTTCAGCTGGACATGAGATTACTCTCTGTCCCTCTGAATCCAGCGCTGCCTCACTTTGCCTGTGACCTGAATAAATTCTACATCTGAGAACTGAAAATTTTTCCGGTTTGTTCTTGGGCTTCCAATTAAAGAATCGGGTCTAACATGCTCCACCAGTCATTAGCCCCATCAGCAAGCAGAACGGCAAAGAAAGTGTGGAGACTCCGTCGGTCATACAGCCTTTACATACAACTGTTGCAAACTGGCTTTGGCTATTTGTAACACACCACTAATTTATCTCACCAACAAGATGTTGGTATGATGTTTTAATCATCAAACTTAAACATTACAGAAATGATCAATGATTAATTAATGGCGCTGATATTTACGCAGACTTTAAGCTACTTCACAGATGAGGACACTATTAGAAGATCAGCAACTAGAAAATAGTCACGCCCACCACTTCTACATCCACTCTCCTTCTCCCTCCTCCTGTGTCGGTTAGTGTGTGCTTGATTGCAGGAGTGGTGACAGCTGCACGGGAGTCAGGCCACCAGCTGTCTCTCATCTTCATTCACTCCTGCCATGAAATGTGGTTCCAGCTCCAGCACTTTGCCAGATCGTAGATTCTGTTATGTTGCCAGTGATGCGCCGAGGCTTTTTGATTATTTGAACTGTTCTGTCAGTATTCTGCCTTGATTCCTGTTGTCCCTTCTACCTGCAGCATGTCTCTCTCCCTTTTGTGGGTTCTCCCCAAAAAGACCAAAATGAGCATCTTCATTGAGAGTATTTACAAGGATGAAAGGGAGAAGTATAAAGAGAGACTGGCGTCTGCACGCAAGATTACAATTGGCCTTGACATTTGGACAACCAAGGGACTTAATACTTCATTCCTTGCTGTAACTGCGTCTTATTTTTGCACTGTCCTGAACAAACCTGAGCACATACTACTAAGTCTCAAACAAATCTCCCATCCACACACTGCTAGTTCTATCAAAGCGTGTGTTGACAAGTGCACTGAGAGATGGGGGATACCAGACAACAAGATCCTTACAGTGATCACAGACAATGGGAGCAACATGGTTGCTGCATTCAGACCAGAGGAGGAAGAGGAGCCTCTGTTAATCGTCTGTTGGAAAAGGTGAAAGCCATTGTGAAACAGTTTCGAAGGTCTTTAGTTGCAACAGAGAATCTTCACCACCGCTGTGGACTTTCACTAATTCCCAGCTGTGTGACAAGATGGTCCAGCACATTTCAAATGGTTTTACGCCATCTACAGGTGAAGGATTGTGTGGCCCAGTGTAGGATATGGACAGACACAGATGCCAAAAGGATTCAAGAGGCTGCATTTGAACTTTCCAGCACCCATTCACAGGTTATAAAAGACAGAACTTTCCCTGCAGGTCACAGGGTCATGTAAATCAGCTCTGCAGACTCGGAGGAGTCGAAGCCGGAGGAAGCAGAGCTCCCTTAGGAATTCCCTTATCACACCTACCAGAGCCTCAAAGGATCTAACACAAAGAAGCTTTTGGGGGAAGACAAAGAAAAACATTCAACCACGCGGACCTTAACAGATGGCTGGGTGTAATGTAGTGCTCCGGGCTTAACGTATTGCTCCGCTGACCCCTCATTTTCTGTGGCATGCAACAACTGAACTTATGAATGAACAGTGAAGATACAGTACCAGAGGATGTGCCTTATTATCTTACTTAGGAATAGAATAGAATAGAATAGAATAGAATAGAATAGAATAGAATGCCTTTATTGTCACTATACACATGTACAATGAGATTAAGAGCAGCTCCTTCAGTGCAACATAGAATAAAGAACAAACTAAAGAGCAAAAAATAAAATAGAAGAGATTTCAATATAAAGTAAGACAAGTTATAT